AGAAAGGACATGGTGTGATCATTCTATTTTGTGAGACAAAGTCAATCACACATGTCTCACCTCCAGGCTCTACCCTTCTACTTAGTGGAACAACACCAAGAGCTCATCAATAGACCACTTGTCAAACAGCTTCAAAAACAGACATTTGGGGGGAAGGGTTGCAGGAGGGTGTGACCAGGAGGGGGACAGTGAGCGGGATATAAAGTGAATAAGTAAAAAAAATAATAAAATTAAATTTAACAAAAGCAAATATTCAACTCTTTTTATATCTTCATCTTCATTGTCACAAAAAGTTCTGGAAAACTGCAGAGCTTAGATAACTTTTTTTTTTTTTTTTTGGTTTTTCGAGACAGGGTTTCTCTGTGTAGCCCTGGCTGTCCTGGAACTCACTCTGTAGACCAGGCTGGCCTCGAACTCAGAAATCCACCTGCCTCTGCCTCCCAAGTGTCGGGATTAAAGGCATGCGCCACCACTGCCCGGCTCTTTTATTTTTTTTATTTTTTTTGGAAGATGCCAGTTTTATTGCAACCCAATCCATATACAACAAAAGTCATTCATCTGAAGTATTTCTAGCACATTCACAGATGTATGAATATCGCCATAACCAATTTCAGAATATTCTCACTGCCCCTCAAAGAACCTTGTGTTCATTAACTACCACTCTCTCCTTACCCCTCTCATCCTCAGGGAATTACAAGTTAACTTTTTGTTTTATGAAACAGGATCTTGCTATGAAGCCTAAGCTACCTTGAAACTTATTAACATCTTGCTTCATTTTTGAGTGCATGCTCTACCACAGACAGGTCCAACTGACTTTCTTCCAAATTCTGTTTTTCTTATCTGAAACCAAGACACTCATTCAAAATCTGAACAAAATGAAAAACAAAAAGCTAGTCAGACATAGTGGAACATATTTGTAATACTAGAACTGGAGAGTCTGAGGCAAGAAGATAGCTATAAATTCAAGGCCATCTTGGATTACATAGTAAGTTTCAAGCAGGGCTACAGAGTGGAACCCTAAGTCAGGGGTAGGGAAATGAAGTGAGAAGCTGATAACCTGGGATTTTAGCTCAGTGGTGGTTGAATGCTTAGCATGTGTAAGACCCTGGATTCTATCCCCAGCACCACAAAAAAGGGCTATAGTTACTATAGTTCTAAAATAAGATTTCTATACTATAATTTCTAGTAATATTAATATAATAACTTCTATAAGTCACCAATTATTGTGACAAGTGATGTCCATGAAAATATTGGCAGGGGAATCCTGATGTTGTCTCATACAAGCTCAGCCAACAGTAAATGTATTCTTGTGCTGAGCTCCTGTCTAGGGTATATGACTAAACTAAATTGACAAGCTTCTGTCTCCCTCTAGTGGGAGAAAAAAAAACAATAGAAAAGGTCAGTGGTTTTAATATGAGTTAAAACAGGGTAATAATGATTTAAAATGAATACATCAGATGAAAGAACTTTTGTTTACACTTAGATGAATGACAAAAAGAATTCAACTGTACAGATTAGGGAACAGAGCCTTCTCAGAAAGGAGACAATAGGAGCAAAGGCCTTAAGAAACAAAAGTGCGGGGGCTGGAGAGATGGCTCAGTGGTTAAGAGCACTGACTGCTCTTCCAGAGGTCCTGAGTTCAAATCCCAGCAACCACATGGTGGCTCACAACCATCTGTAATGAGATTTGATGCCCTCTTGTGGTGTGTCTGAAGACAGCTACAGTGTACTCATAAATAAAATGAATAAATCTTTAAAAAAAAAAAAAAAGAAACAAAAGTGCTAAATGCCTTGAGGAAAGGAAAAAAACAGACCAGTGTGGAATGGCTGGGCTTTTAGGGAAGTTGACATGACATTAGATCAACACAAGGCTGAAGATGGAGTTTAGGTTTCAAGCAACAGAAAGTCAGTGGAGAGCATTAAGCAAAGTGGAGACGGATTTACCAGATCATACTGGTTGCCAATAAGCAATGGATAAAAAAGAGCCCGTAATTTCAATATGAAACTGCACCTAACAGTCAAGGCAAGATGAAGGGACCCAGGACATCTCACACTAAGCCTAGCTAGAACAAAATTACAACAAACAGCTTCTCTCACAACTCTGACTCCCCACCCCCACCCCACCCTCATTCCCTAGTCCTCCCAATGTTAGATTGCTCAGGTACCTAGGTGTGAAACCAAAAGCCCAGCAATCACTAGATGCCTGTCCCTCTCTCTTCCATATCTGTGATGTTGGCCACAGCTCCATACCTAAGAACCTTATGCTGCTCTGACCATCTCTGTAAATCAGCTCTTTTCATCACTGTCACTAGATACTGAACAAAATATTTCCATGATTTCCAAATGCCCACCTGTGTGTGACACTGGTGTGCTTGTAAAAAGGAAACACACAAGGTGGCCATGTGACAAAAGTGGCAGAAGCAGAGATGCATGTCCAACTAAAGAGAACTAAGAATTTCTGGGACCTACAGTGGGAGAGGGGTCTAGAATGGGTTATCTCTCATGAGGAACCCACTTCTCAGATCCCTGCCAACCAGAACAGGGAGACAGGAAATCTCTGTTGCCCAAGCCCCCTAATGTATGGTACTTTGTTGCTGCAACCACAAGAAATTCAAGCCCCAAATTAGTTGATTTGGCACCTTCCACCATTCTGTTGAGTAAACAATGAGCTTTCCTCAGCCATAGGCAGAGGAAACCTCAGAGCTGTGTGTAACTGCTACTTCCTATGTAATGCAGGAGAACTAAAGAGATAGAAATAGCAAAGAAAACCTTTGTTACTGGCAATCCTAAGCCAGGAGCCAAGACTTCCTTCTTCCTGAGAGCAAATGTCAGTTAAGTAGATAGCCAGAGTTAAGGAATGCCTTATTGCCTTCTTCCTGATAGCAAATGTCAGTTAAGTAGATAGCCTGAGTTAAGGAAGACCTTATTGCCTTCTTCCTGAGAACAAATGTCAGTTAAGTAGATAGCCTGAGTTAAGGAAGACCTTATCAGCCTTCCTGCCTAGGAGAGAAAATTAGCAACTTGAGCCTAACAAATGTTTTATTGCCCTCTTGCTCCTGAGAAAGTGGTTTGGGCTAAGGAATGCTTGCTAAGAACTTAACAATTACCGGATGGCCCTGGACCCTGACCCTACTTACTGCTTGTCTTTATAAGGCCACCCGAACAATAAAGTTCAAGCACTTGATCAGACATTCAGACCTGTGCTTCTTCTTTGTGTCTCTTGTCCTATCATTCTTTTGCCCCTTTCCCTAGGGTCTTGTCGAATCCTGGCGGGCCAGGGCAATCCTACCCCTACATCCAAATGAGGACAGAGTACATGCTTGCAGGTCTTACCTCTTTATTTCATATTTTATACATAACTTAATCCTCTGGCTGTTTTATACCATCCTACAGAGAATGTTCATGTAACAAAATGTTCAAGATGGTAGCCATGCAGGCCTGTGTCATTGGATATGTTTCGTCTTATTTCATCACAGCCTTTGGTGGTAACAGGTGATGGTGCCACAGCCACTCCAATGAAGCAATCACTGTGAGGACCAAGCTGTTGTCAGGTAAGGAGGGCTTAGGATGCTTCCAAAGTGCTTGTTCCATCTCACCAAACTCCCACCTTGAAAGGGGAAACACTGATAGGTAGGCCTCACCTTGCCTGAGGGTATCACACAGTGTTGAAATTGTCCCTATTTTGACATCATCCCCACTTACAATCTGTCTTACCATTTATTACATCAGTAGATGAAGTACTCTGTACTGTCTTACTGGCTCTCTGGTTTTATCTTGGGCATGGGCCAACGGAAAGAGAGCATACGTAAGTAACAGTAACAGGTCTTCTGGAAAGGATATGCTTCTAGCTATAAGGATCTGGAAGTTGGCTGCCAGAGGCCACATAAAATTTATATAAAAGCAAGTAGACTAATTCCTGAGGGGGATAGGACAACCACTTTTCCCAGTTCTAGCATAAGTAATTCTGGAAAAGAAAAGAGCATGTCCCATGTCAAGAAGATGGTAGAATTTCAAAATATGGTTAATCATACACCATACTGCAGGGTAATTAGGTGCCAAGGGCTCCCACCTCTTCTAGAAGGATACTGGGTCCCAACCATTTCCTGGAGTCACCCTCAGATTTGCCTTGACCAGTCCATGAAGTCCAAGCCAGAATGTTTTCAAGCTTCCAGATGATCCTACTGTGTAACCTGGGTCACACCTGCTTTCTGAGCCCCTTTCAGGTTAAAGTACTGGTCAGAAATGCACCTATGCACCTCTGTTTATCCAAGAAGCATGAAGCTCATGCAGCCACTGCAGGCAGCCCAACAGCTCTCTCCTACTATAGCCAACCTGCCTCTCCCAATCATTCCCACTGACCCTGCTGACAGAGCACTGACAAGGGTCTGACTGCCTCCAAACTCTGAAGCCTACTGGTCATCACCAGAGAGACCAGGCCTCTCTAGCAGAATTGCAAGGATTAAAGGCCCCCGCCTTTGGGCTACATTTAATCAGGTTCTGATGATGTCCCTACTTTGGGTTGTGTAAGCCCAAACCCCCAGAATGTGAGAACATGACTTTATTTGGGAAAAGGGTCTTGGTAGGTGGAATGAGGTAAGGGTCTTGAACTGGAGATCCTCCTTAATCTAACCAAATAGACCCCACATGCACAACTTGCTTTCCTTATGAGACAAGAGAGGAAGAGACAACGAGGCCCTAGAACCAGAGACTGGAGTAATAGATCTACGAGCCAATCAACACCAAGGACTGCCAGAAACCACTGAAAGTTAAGAGAATGCCTGGAATTAATTCTCAGAGCCTCTAGAAAAAACTTAACATTTGGCTTCCAGACAGGAAAGAATGATTTTTTGTTACTGTTGTTCTTTCAAGTCTAGGAGAATTTTTAAAGTACCTATAGGAAAGTCATATATACTACCACAAAACTGAACTCAAGCTAAACCAATAGTATTCCTAAAGGAAAATTATAGGTTAGGTATTTAAATGAAAACACAGAAGCAAAGAACTTGTTTGTTCCTTTAATATTTTTCCAAAGATCTGTCTGATAGATACCTGGGAATTAGGAAATGGAAAACTTGAAAATTCTGAGGAAGCTCCCAGCTCAGGATTACTTTTTAAATACTTTTTTTAAAATCTGAATTCTCCTTAGCCTTCTCACTCTTAATGGGAAAGAAGCCATGTGAATAAAAGCCCAGGGATCAATTCACAGATCCCATTCAGAACCATGAAAGCTTACAGAAGGGCAGGAAGGATTTCAGACCTGAGGAATGAGCAAAGCATATTTGCTTTCTCAACTACAACTTCCTTTCCTTTACTAGAACTGCAAGGCTAATATTAATGACTGTAAGGTTCCAGAAAATGTCTAGAACCTTGCAAAACAAGTGAACTGTTCCCTTTTCTATAATCTTTCAGTCACTGATAAATGGTTCCCTAAGACATTTTGGCTAGTGGAGAACATGCGATCACAAACTCCTGGAGTGTGATAAACTATGCATTCACAGAAGGCAACAATATGCCTGGCAAAAACAAGAGCACACTGGGGCTAGAAAAAGAAATGCATATATGTGAAATATCTTTCTGTTGACAAAGCAGCCATAATTCCAAAGCCAAAAAAAAAAAAAAAAAAAAACTAGGAGTAAAGAATGGGTAAGCAGAAGTATATAACAGCTTCTAGGCCCCAAAACAGCAACACAATCAAAGTGGAACAAGGTGTGCACTTTCTGTGATAGTCAAAACTAATCTGGCCGGGCAGTGGTGGCGCACGCCTTTAATCCCGACACTTGGGAGGCAGAGGCAGGCGGATTTCTGAGTTTGAGGCCAGCCTGGTCTACAGACTGAGTTCCAGGACAGCCAGGGCTACACAGAGAAACCCTGTCTCAAAAAACCAAAAAAAAATTTTAAAAAAAAACTAATCTGACTGATAATCAAAGAACTTTCCAAAGCCCAAGAACAATTGCAATGACCCAACAGAAAAATGGGTAGGAATTATGAAAATCCAAATTACATCAGAGGAATTAAAAAGGGCCTACATACCCCAGAAAAAGACACTTAAACTCTTTAGTAAAGAACAGCGCCAGGCAGTGGTGGCGCATGCCTTTAATCCCAGCACTTGGGAGGCAGAGGCAGACGGATTTCTGAGTTTGAGGCTAGCCTGGTCTACAGAGTGAGTTCCAGGACAGCCAGGGCTACACAGAGAAACCCTGTCTCAAAAAAACAAAGAACAGTATGTCTAGCCAATAGCAGAAATCCAAAGGTCTGCCCACTCCTCCATGGCAAGGATCCAATGACACATCTAAGCATCTGTCCTAAAGGTACACACAGATCAGTGCACAAGTACTTTCATTGCACCATTACTTATAGTAACAAAAGGAAAGACTACTTTCCACATGTCTACCAGAGGTAACACATGTTATAGACCCAAGTGCCACCTGTCCTGGGAGGAGAGTCTGCAGCTCATCAGCAAGAAAAGTACCAGCTAGAGAGAGGAAAACCTGCACCCAGCCCTGCTTGGAGAAGGGATGCTCCCTGAGAGCCCCTAGCCTCCATTCTAGACTCCCTAGGAAAATGAGAGAAGAAAGAAGAAGAAGCAGCTACCAAAAGCAAAGTGGATCAGGCACACAGAATAAAAGAGAAAAAAATAGCCCTGAATGGGGCTGTCTACCCTAATGGGGGACCAAAGGGTTAAAGCAAGGGTCCTGCTAGGTCCTGGGGCCCACTCTTTGACATCAAGCCCTTAACTGTGGACTATGCAGGTGAAACAGGAAAGCATGGGTTGCACAGATTGGGACACAGTATTAAAGGTGGCCTTGCATCTGCTGTTCCTACTCTATGCACTCCATGACATGAATCTGTAGTGTGTCCATATCAGGAGCCTGATACTGGCACTTGGGACAACAGAAGTCAGGTGGTTCCTCAGGAGGGCTCCTCCGCTGGTTGGATAAGGCCAAATGGAAGGAGTGGTGAGCTGGGAAAAAAGAACACAGGAGTGTGATGAACTATGTAAGTACTTCATGCACATCCTAGGTAGGCCTCAAACAGAAAGGGAGGCTAACAAAGTGCTGAGACTTACTGATACCACATTTGACTACATAGCTGGGAGCCACCTCTACCAGCACAATTTTCCTTTGACCTCAGAGTGGTGTGGTCAACAAGAACTCCCCAAAGCAGAGCAGCAGAGAATCCAACACTGCTTCCCCTCAACACAACACTCTGCCCTCCCTAACCATCTCCTCCCACCATCTAGCACTTGTTCACTCACCTGGAGCAGGGAGTAAAGGGGGCTGGGAAGTCTCTACATGCCGCTTCCTCATATCCTCAATCCTTTTGAAAATAGAAAGCATTCAATCAATGCTTGAAGGGGATTTTTTATGAATAAATATCTTCACTTAGATATAATTCATGTACTATATAATTCACCAATCTAAATTGTATTGTTAGAGGGTTTTACTCTATTCAGCATGTCCAATCATCAGTATAATTTTAGAATATTTTCATACTGTCCCAAAGGAAACTTTGTTCTTATTAGGAATTACTCCCTGTGTTCCCCTGTATTAGTTTCCTCAGAATCTTGTTAACAAACTACCACACACCTAGTAACTTAAAATAACAGAAATGTGCATGATACAGGCGACTAGGTGCCCTAAATCAATGTGTCAGAGGACTGGGCAGAATTATCATGCCCTCACCCTAGCTGGTAGTAGTTTACAAATTGCTTGGCATTTCTTGGCTTGTAGCTGAATCTCAGAGTCTGCCTTGGCCTTCTTGTGGCTGCCTTCTGTTATCTTAATTTGCTGCTTCTGCAACTACCAGTACCACAGTCAATTAATTAACCTAATGTGATCTTATGTTAACTAGTTACATATACAAAGATACTAAACCAAATAAAGTCATATTTTGAGGTTTTAGATAGATATATTTGCACTGGTTAGGTTTGTTGTTGTTGTTGTTGTTTGTCAATTTGACAAAAGCTGCAGTCATCTGATCAAAGGGAACCTGAATTGAGTAAATATCCCCATTAGACTGGCCTATAGGCAAGCCTTTGGGGCATTTTCTTCACTGATGTGAGAGGACCTAGTTCTCTAGAGACAGTGCCACCCCTTGAGCAATCACCTAGGTTGTAAAAGAAAGCAAGCGATGGAGAACAAGCCAAAAAGTAGTTATTCCATGGTTTTTACTTCAGTTCCTGTCTCAAGTTCCTGTCCTGACTTCCCTCCATGATTAACTACAACTGTAAGCTGAAATAAACCTTTTCCTCCCCCAGTTGCTTTTGGTCACGGTATCTATCACAGCAATAGCAACCAAGCTAAGACAAACAATGGTACCAGATTCTTGCAGAATTGCTGAGAGAGATCCAACCTGACCACGTTGTTTTGTGGAAGACTGTAGAAGGACTTTGGAACTTTGGGCTGGAAGTGCCATCAAATTGTTAAAGCCTAACGGGCTGTTCTGTGGAAGCCAAAGAAGATAAGAATGCTGACACCAATGCAAATGATGAAGTTTTGGAGGGAAGCAAAGATACTATCAGGGTCATTTGTGTGGTATTAAGAATCTGTAGTTCTAGTCAGCTGGGGCTGATCAAGAAGAGCAGCAGGAGGCACAGGGAACTTAATACCAATGCTAAGATCCATCAATCTCCTGTAGTTACTACTGGTTGCTGCCTAGTATACACCTTCTCTGTCTATGGCTGTGCTCCTGGCTGCACCCTTAGAGGCCCACCTGGCTGATTCATGGCAGCCAACTTTCAGCTTGTTGAACTCGCGCTGCAGCTGCTCCAACTGCTCCTGCAAAAGCTCTTTCCTCTCCACCAGCTTCTCCCGGGCATGCCTCTCAGCTTGGAAGTCAGCCTTGTAGATATCCGCCTGGCAAATAGAACAGAGGTGTTCACCTACTATCCATCAGCTTCCCATCAAGCATTCTATACCATGCCCAGAGGAACAGAGCCCTGTCTTGTCCCCTAAAATCCCAAGATAGTTCATCAGAAACAGATATGAAAGCCTGTGATCTCAAGAGCACCAAGAAGTCAAGGAAAATGCAAAGAGCTCAAGAAGACTAAGAGAGGTCACTACAAAATGATGTAAAAAGGTACCCTAAACCCCATTGCCTGGATGGGCAGGTCACTCATGTAGTAGGCAGGCTGGAACAGAGCCCTCACCTGGGCCTTCAAGACTGGCACAGTCTCCATCACAATCTTGTGCTGCTCAGCCTCCTCTTTCAGCTTATCAATCAATTCCTGTTTGGCTACCAGGGCCTCCTCAGCTTGCTGGAGCTGTTGCCTCAGATCTTCCAGCTGCATGCCCTAGAGAAGGACAAAGGGTGCTGGCAGAGTCTCTTGGCCCACAGTGGGGCCAAGGTACCTCCCTGGCAGACCACTGTTTTAAGAACTAAGTAGGAAAAGCTGGAACAAAGCCAGTCCTTTGGATTTGGGGGCCAATAACAATGTGTGCAGAGAGAATACTGCATCCTGTGGTCGTCCTACAGCACAGAAGAAATGCTAAGGTCCTTCTTAGGATGCACAAAGATCTTAGGACTGACAGGAACTCTGAAGATATATAAGGTACTGCTTCATACTCTGCATCCTTTCCTTCAGAGAATTCCTAGCTAGCCAGCTGTCCTTTTGACTCTTCAAGGACAAGAACCACTCTCCCTCCTGAGGCTTCCCACTCCACAGTGAGTAAGCATTATGCACTAACTCTCCACAGACTGCAAGCCCACCATACACCAGGCAAGGCTGTAACCCATGGGTCCTTCTACTCTGCTACTTGGTCAAACACACCTTATACACATGCACACATGCTCTCAATCAAGAATTCCTTCCAAGCCGGGCGGTGGTGGTGCACGCCTTTAATCCCAGCACTTGGGAGGCAGAGACAGGTGGATTTCTGAGTTCAAGGCCAGCCTGGTCTACAGAGTGAGTTCCAGGACAGCCAGAACTACACAGAGAAACCCTGTCTCGAGAAAAAAAAAAAAAGAATTCCTTCCAACAGAGTAAAAAGAAATTTTTTAAAAGATTTTTCTTAATTTGTGTGTGTGTGTGTGTATTCCCACCAAAGTCAGAGATGCTATCAGATCTGCCAAAGCTGGAGTTGCAGGTGGCTGTTAGCTACCCAACGTGAATACGGACAACAGACTTAAGTCCTCTGAAAAAAAAAACAGCAAGTGGTCTTATTGACTGAACAATCTTTCCAATCCCTTAAGCAGCATTTTTATAACTAATCTGGTATCATGCTTAATCCTTAAAAAATCTCCTATGGGTACATTATGCTTAACAATGTCCTTTTTAAAATGTGACCACTAACTTTGAGTAACTATGCATAATTTGTGTTAGCATTCAACTTCTTTTCTCAATTGACTTCCACTACTATTATTTAAATTTTAGACAAATAAGAAAAACATAGGTTTTTATTTTTAAATTAATATGAGTTAACTCATTTCATGAGGGATTTTTATATATGTAAAAGTCTTCACGTTCTGATTGTTTGAGCTCTCCCTTAATGTATTTGCTAGAAATAATAGTGTTCAAGTATTTTTAATCTACTTATACAACACTATTTATAGTCTTTCAAAAGTTGTTCATACACTTTCTGAATTAAGGCCATATTTAGGTGCTAGAGAAGCTCACCTTTTACACAGAGGATAAAAAAAAATCATAGTCATAACTGGAGATGATATTTACATAGAAATGTAGTAACCACTATGGCATGGAAACATCCAGTTCTTAGCTTAAAATTTTAAATGTATGTTTAGGGATGGGGTCAAGTTTTAATGACTATTTTACCCCCAAATGACTGCATATTTTGCCATAATAAAATAAATACATAAAAATATAAAATTTTGTTTAAACTATGCAACTTTGAGAATTATTTTTTGCAGTTACACACATACACACACATCATGGAGTTTGATTTTGCTCTTCCACCTTTCCTTCTAGTTCTCTTCATTTTATTAATTGAAAAACAGACAAATTACCATTTTTGTGAATCTCTCTTTGACACTTCATCGAGTAACTGCACTGATCTAGAACTGTACAGTTCTTTATGGTAAACAATTTTAAAATTTTTTAATGAGAGGCAGAAATGCCTTTAGAAATCAGGTTCTCTAGTCTGTTAATATCAGTTGGCTTCCTATTTCTCTCTGGAGTTGTTTATTCAATGGTGGGGTGGTTTTGGGTTTTGGGGGTTGGTTTTTTGTTATTGGTTTGGCTTGGTTTTGGGGTTTTTGGGTTTTGGTTTTGAGACTAAAGCTGGCTGTCCTAGAACTCACTTTGTTGACCAGGCTGACCTCTAACTCACCAAGATCAGCCTGCCTCCGATTCTAGAGTGCTAGGATTAAAGACATGTGCTACCATGCCCAGCACTAATATGTGAGCTTTTGGCAACCTTGTTAAAGTTTCTTTATATGAGTAATGGATTGTAAAAAATTATCGACGATCCATTCTATTTGAGAAAGAGGAGAACAGATAATAAACTGTATTGTGTAAAAAATGTGACCACTGGTCACGGTAGCACATACCTGTAATCTCAGCACATGGAAGATGGAGGCAAAAGAATCAGAGGAGTTCAAGTCTCATCCACCTAAGAGTTCAAGGATGGCCTGGGCTCTACTGAAAAAGAATAGGCTACGGAGATAGTTCAGTCAATAAAGTACTTGTTCGGACCTGAATTCAAGCCCCTGAATCTATGTAAGAAAAAGAGCTGGTCATGTATAGCTCCTAAGGAATAACACCAATAATGTTCTCTGACCTCCACATATGTTTGTATGTAGATGCACATACAAAATTATCACTAGACCTGATGAGCATAAACTCAAAAAGCGATCGGAGTCACCTCAGAAATGTTTCTGGGGGAGGTAAAGAGAGGCTGGAAGGATGACTCAGCAGTTAAGAACACTTGTTGTCCTTGGAGAGGATTCAGATTCAGTCACAGGCAGCTAACAACATTCATAACTCCAGTTCCAACAGATCCATCTTTTCTATCTTCCACATGTGTCGAGCACACACATAGTACATATATGTACATATATATATATATATATATATATATACATATATATATATGTGTGTGTATGTATGCATATAAATATGCAAAATACTTTTTACATAAATATAAATAAATATAAAAATGTTTTTAGAAAAAAAGAAATGTCTGTATGTCTGTGGACTTCCCAACTCTGAACATGAAGGAATGGCCATGCAGAACAACATCCCTGCCACAGACCTGAAGGTCCTAGACCCAGATACCCTACTGTGAAGGTCCTAGACCCAGATACCCTAGAGATGTCCTGTGGATATGTCCCATCTCCTTGTAGTCATCCAAAAACTGTCATAGCTGCAGTCCCACTGGAGGTGTCAAGCAACTTGAGAGTCCCTTCCAAAAGCTAGATGTGCTATTTCTCAAAGGTCACACTGCTCCCCTTCAGATACACTAGGGAAGAAAGGAAAAACCTCTCCCTAGACAGTCCAGGAAGATATACTTACTAGCTTATGTTCTCCACTCACCTTGCTGCTCTTAATGTGGGTGTCGTAGTCTTGGAAGAGCTGGTGATAGGCTGCCTGCAACTGAGCCAGCTTCCGCCTGTGCAAAAGGAGCTGTTACTGGAGAATCTGCTTTGTCCCAGTAGAGCCACAAGTTGCCTAATACAGCTTCACCTTCTTCCTTCTTGTCCCAATAAAAGACCTGAAATGTGGGCTTCCCAGATTACATCTGGGCTCCTGAGGCTATCAACTCTAAGACAAGCTTTGCTGACGGCAAGGATTCACTGCAACTGATTTGGCCACTACATAGTTCTTATTTTCCTTAAAGCCAACATCTTGGGATGTTTCTAACAAGGGCTAGTGTACAACTCAGAAGTAGAACTTTTGCCTAGTGTGTTTGAGGCCCTATGCTTCATCTCTAGCACCAAAAAGAAAATAAACGTAGAGGCAGGGATATTGTTCTAAATTAAAGAAAACTCAAAAGGATGCTGAACCAGATACCAATAACAGGTTGAGAGCCTGTACAGGCATTATGAGCTCAGTCTTTAGGGCCAGCTTGAAGCCACCATGACTCCTTGCTTTCCTTATGCCAAGAGCATATTTTAACCATGATGAAAAGAACCTATGTAGGACACACAGTAAACATGAATGTGGCTAGAAATATTCCTGTTGACTCTGTCATTAGCAAGGCAAAGGGAGAAAAATCAGCCCTTCTATACACAACCAGTCCCTACCAGGACTCCCTAAAAGGCAGGAAGCACTCTGAGATCTCTCAGTACCAACCATCCAGCCACTTACTTCTCCTCTGAAGCAGCCTGTCGCTCCATTCGCAAGGCAGCCTCCACACTCTGGTTCTGCATACGCAGCTGGTCCACCTGGACACTATGCTGCTGCTGCAGCACCTCTCGTTCACTCTCCAGCTGTCTGACCTGCTCATTAACTGCTCGTATCCTGATATGCAAAAAAAAAAAAAAAGAAAAAAGAAAAAAGAAAGAACACCCTGAGGGGGCTGTGAACTCATTAGCACTAAGCTCAAGGATAGGCAGGAGCTACTGTGCAACTTTACAATTTAGCTCAAGTCCCAGACACCCTTATTAGAGGCTCAGGTTCCATACCTAGGTAGGTTGTACAGCCTCATGGGATAAGATATAGCATCAATAGTCTCAGCAGAGAATTCACCTCTCCCTCTATACTGTCACTGTAAAAGCTTATGTTGTCTTACCTCTATCATCCATATCCCCCGTATCTTCTGATCCTGGCCTATAGTACCCCACAGTTTCCCTTAAACTCTAGTTCTGGTATTAGCCTAATCACCCTGGTACCTCTCTGTGTGCTGTTTACAAAGGCAATGATGGATATTTCCATGGGTCTTTGAGGAAGCCACTGACGGCAGATCACCCTAACTTTGCCAAGGCAGATGTGGACTACTGGGCCTGCTCCCCTTTGACCTTTTCTCACACTGCCCTTCCCCCACCCACCTACCACCTGTGTTCTCTGAGCCCAAGTCAAAATCTCCTCTCTCCCATATGACAGGAGCCCCAACCCACTGCCCCACAAACATAATGACTACCTATTGCACTGAGAAAGTCAGGGCTACCCTGTTAGCTTCACCAACTGTCTGGATGACAGCAGCAAGGCAGTATGAGAGGCACAATAGTGCCCATGCCTATAACTCAATGATCTCACGTGGCAACCTAATCCCCTTGGCAAAAGAGAATGAGTGACAGTCCCAAGACCATTAGTTAACAAAGTCAGCCAAACTCACTTTTCTGCCAGAAGTCAGAAATGTTGGTACATGCCTGGGCAGAGGATACCAATGTGAACAACTCCCAACAGAAACATGAAGTTCATAGGCTCTAATGAGAAGTAGTTCATGAGGGCTCTGTGCTCTTCATGGGGTTGCTATGGAATGTATCCAGTCTTCTTCGCCTAGGACTTTCTGCCTTGGTGGAATCCCACTACATATTAGTCTGGATAGTGAGCTCTTGAGTGTGGTCTTAAGGGCCCTGCAGTGCTTCCTAAAGAATAAACTGAATCCCAGTATGATGTTTTGAATAAAAATAGCTCCCATAGGCTTCTACAGAGTGGTATTATTTAAAAGGATTAGGATAAGTGGCCTAGTTGGATTAGGTGTGGCCTTGTTAAAAGAAGTGGATCACTGTGGGTGGACTTTAAGGTTTCAGATGCTCAAGCCAGACCCCACTGGTTTACTCTCTTTTCCCTGCTGCCTGCCAATCCTGATGAAGAACTTTCAGATACCTCCCTGGCACCATGTCTGTCTGCTTACCATCATGCTTGCCACCATGACAATAATGGACTGAACCTCCAAATGTAAGCCAGCTACAATGAAATGTTTTCCTTATAAAAGTTGTCATTATCATGCTATATTTCCACAGCAACGGAAACCCTAAGTACCCAGTAAAGAGGTGGTCATAAGGTCTGCTTCTTCATAGTAATAGAAACCCTAACTAACCACCCAGTAAAGAGTCATAGAGACTCTTTCCAGCAACAGCTAGAACTAGATTCCTAGATAACAGACCAGGCTTCTCACAAGGCAGTCCTGAGGGCTCTGGGGAATTTAAGAAGACTATCAGTCCTTCCTTTCAGAGAGAGGAATTCATAGGGGTTCCTACACTTGTCTCATTCAAAACCCTGGAAGGGGACTCCTGGACTAGCCTCCCCTCCCTACTCACCTTCCCTCTAAAGTTTGCCGTTCCTTGGTGGCAGCCTCCAAACGACTCTGGCTCTCCTGGAGTTCCCCCAGCAATGATGTCACCTGAGCTTTCACAGAGGCCTTATCCTCAGCCATCTGCTACAAGAAAAAAGGTCATTTCCTATCAGTACTGCTTTCTCCCATGCTTCCTACTTTTGGCATCCCCAAGACCTGAGGCAGCCTTCAAGCAGTTGATATATCGAGGGCTTCTCCTGCCTCTCAACACCTATAAACCTTGGTACTTCGAAGGCTCATTAGCCCAATGGCTATTTGTCTTCCTCCAGTCACCAATTTTGACTCTCAGGTAGTAGTGAACCTTTCTCAGTATCCTTGAGACTCTATAAAAGGAGACTAGACTCAAAGACAGCAACAAAAACGTCTAGTCCACATATACAACAGGTAAGAAGTTTCAGAATAAGAGAGAAGACTGGAATTTTTTAAATACTGAGAGCTGAACCATCAAGAAGGTTCATCAGATAAAGGTATTTGCCACCAAGGCTGATGACCAGAGTTTGAGCTTCAAAACCCATTATGATAGAAGAGAAACCTGCTATCACAAGCTGTCCTGAGTGCAAACTATGCTCAGCTCAAACTTTAAGGTTAACCAAACTTTAGCATGCCTTCTAACAGCTTAAGGTCACATTTGTGTAGTGTACTAAAAACTCCTTCCTGGTTCCAACTTGCAAATGCTCAGAGCTATTAAAGGAATTGACACTTGACATAGGCTTAACCTTTGCCATGATTCCTTCCTCTATCACCTCAAACCCCATGTATTTCCTTTGACCCTAACCCTATCTCAAAAACCTGAGTGCTACTTCTTTGAAATGGAATCATCAGAATGGACTCAGACCCCTAGTCTTCAAGTATGGTAAAAAACCCACATTTGATTCGTACAAGCTTGTAAACACACTGGGTCTCATCACATTGACAATAATACCCTTTGGCATTCACTTGACCTCCTTCACCTATCCAAATCTTTCATTTTTTTTCTATCTGTATCTCTGTCTTTATCTTATTTTTTGAAGTCCTGGAAACTAAACTCTAAGCTTCACATATGCAAAGCATACACTCTATTACTGAGCCACACACTGGCCCCTATTCTCATTTTAAAATTCCCAGTCATTGAGTAGAGAGATTGCTCAGTGGTTAAGAGTACTTGCTACTCTTTATAAGACCAGAATTCAGTTCCTACCACCACAACTGACTGGTAGTTTACAGCTACCAGGAATTCCAGTTTGAGAAGATCTGAGACTCTCTTCTGGCCTTCAAGGGCACTTAGTCACAGACACAAACACATAAACACATAAATAAAAATCAATCTTTAAAAAAGGTAAAATACCCAGTCACCTCTACAGATCACCAGAGCTCAGCTAGCTCTTTCCCTCTCATTGTCATCAGTTACTGAACAAAATCTATTCTCATAGCTCTAATAACTGTCTACCTTTATGTTTCACATTGGTATCCTTATAAAAAAAGAGGAGAACTGTGAGACAATTTAGCAGGTCCCAGTGGGTAAAGGTGCCTGCCATAAAGCCTAACAACCTGAGTTCAATCCCTGGGACTCATATGGTAGAAGGAGAGAACTGACTCCTTCAGGTTGTCCTGTCACCTACATGTGCACCCCATGGCAATACACAGATCCACATGTGTGAGTGCAAGCACAGACACACACGCTACACAAAATAAAATATAATAAAAAATTTGAAGAGAAAGGGCTATGTGACAAGAGAGTTAAGGAGCACCAAGGACTGCCAACACTAACAATATATTTAGCTTGGAGAAGAACCTGGAACAGTCCTGTGAGGAAATTACCTGCCCATACCTTCATCTTAGACCTCTGATAGACAAAACTAGGAACAATCAATCCTCTGTTATCTAAGCCCCCAGTTTGTGGTACCTTGCTGCTATCTCCCTAGATAGGAACCAAATGCTTTGACAAGGCATTCTTTGCATTATTATTAACTTAGCCCCACAATGTAAAACTTGACTATGGCAGGTCTTCTCTACCTTTTCCCTCAGACTGGTCCTGTCAGATGGCATAATCGCTGCTCAACTATTGTCACCAGGGTCCTGAAACCAGCCAGTCCAAAAAGGCCCTGAAATACCTTCTCATTCCACACTAGGCATACCATCCTTTGGTGATTGTATAATACAGCACCAATTCACAGGCCTGGGGTCTCATAATTCCTCCAAAGTCTCTTAGTGATCATCTCTTGAGCCCCCTGGGAAATCCTACCTGATGTTACTGCCTTGTTTTATCAGGGGCCTAGGACTCAACCAGGCTGTCTGGGCTGATCCCAAAGTATGTGAGGGCCTTGGACTACAAGGTATAGTGCCTGCTAGACTTCAGGGTGGCTAGAACCTGAGCAAGCTATGTCAGGTACCCAAGCACTCCATGCCTTCAAAATGAACCCAGGATAAATCCTGGCTCCCAGGGCTCAGGAGTGCTTCCTGGTTGACAGTGTTCTATGTACCACTGTTCACAGCAAAAGCACTGCTTCATGAGAAGCTCACATCTGGCCTCTCCTGGCTCCTACCATATATGCCTTGTACCTTGGATGATTTTGATGTGGACCCTTTCACTATAATAAACTAACAGTGAGTATGATGGTTTCTCTTGGTTCTAAGAGTGCTCCCAGAAATCAAGCCTGAAAAGGTCCTGAAGAACCTCTAACAACATACTTCCTACAGGAATGTAAGTGTTGCTATGATCTTCAAACACAGGTCGGGCAGAACGGCCTGCCCATCCACTAGCTACCTGTTGGCATTTCTTCAGGTGCTCCAAATCCTTTAAGGCCTGTTCCCTCTGCCTCCGCAGATCAAGCTTCTCCAAGCTCAGTCTCTCCACCAGCTTCCTGGCTTCCTGGAATTTGCACATAAGGAACTCCTTCTCCTCCCGCTGGCTGACCTGGAAATGCAGCAGCTCCTCACAGCGTTCCCTCAGCATCTGATTGCTCTGCCGGATAGCATCTAGGGACAGGGAAGACAGCAAAGGAAATGTGAGTCCTGACAGCCAGGCACCTCTATAATACTAAGTGGCCTTTCTCCAAGAAGTCAAACCAATTCCTAGCCAATTCCACTGATGATATGCCCCTAAGTGTCTGTAATGCATTACTAAACACAGATTCTTCACTTGAAGGGATACACCAAAATCAACTTTCTTTTTAAGACTCATTTATATTATGGTCAATTGAAGGTATCCCTCCCCTGGAGCACTCAGTCCCAATCCTCCCAGACCTATATCTCTGTCTTTAGGATCAGGGGGCCCTAAACATGCCTGAAACACTTGGGGAGGTAGGGAAACAGTCTCCAAAGCAAATTTCACTGTGTACTTTCTGGCTGCAATCTGGGAGCCCAGAAGGTGCAAACAGAACAAGCTAGTAGTTCTATGAGTTTCATTCTCTTTAGCTGCATATTCAAGAACAGTAAACATCTACCTTACAAAATGAGAGTGACATGAGAAAGAAGGTAGTGCCAGTGCAGAAGACATACTCAAAGATCTCCTCTCACTGGAGCTGGCCACACCCTTCCAAGAGCAGGCCACATTTCATCTTAGGAAACAACCCTCTCTCTCTGAAGGAAAACCATATCCTCTCCCACCTAAAAGCTTGCTATGTCCCAAGAAAGAATAAACCTATTCCCATCAATCTCTATAGCCCACTTTTCCCCTACCCACCATGGCTTTTTAGCTTGTCCTCCTTCCCCCTCCCTTTTCCTTTCTCTGGTGCTGGCTTTGAATCACATTATTTTCTGCATGTGACTCTTCACAGAAAATCCTACCTGAAACAAAGCAAGGTAGCTACATTTGAAATGCTGGCTGGTTCTTGGGCACATCACGACCTCATATCCTACCAATTATGAGATGCAGGTGACAATAAGCTTTGTCCTTATATAAGTACACCAGGACCCTCCTGACTTTTACCTTCATACCACCCTCACACTGCAATCTTTACCTCTTAGCTCTTGATTCTCTTCCAGACAGCGCTGGACAGTCTCAGGAATACCCTGCTCTGAAGGGAGATGTAGCATTGCAGGCTTCCCTAGAGAAGATTCTTCACCCAGCATGTCCTGGTCCTCTGCTGGGCCACCACTGGGCTGCACCATCTCACTCAGCTGATTCTTCCAGAGGTGCCTGCTCATCCAACAAGACAGTGTCTAGAAGAAAAAGGCAGTAGGAGTGCATGACAAAGAGCAGAGTTCTTTCAACCAGCCCTAGACTTCCATTCACAGCAAAAGGCTAGACATTTTGTCTGGTGGAACCAAATACAAAAGTGGAGTTTGGGTCTAAGACATAGCAAATATTACCATTGCAAAGAGAGAGAATTATGGAGGGAAAGGGAAGTAAACTGGGAAACCTACCTCCTCCATACACCTTCAAGTAAAAGCAAAGGGTCCTGACCCCTCACCCAGTATAGTGGAATGATTGATATAGCCATGTCCTAATCCCTCAACCTATAAATATGACTTTACTTGGAAAAAATGGTCTTTTTTCCCCTCCCCGGAAAAAAATGGTCTTTACAGATGTAGTTAAATTAAGGATCTCAAGCCAGGTATAGTGGTACATGTCTTTAATCCAAGCACTTGGAAGGCACAGTCAGGCAAATCTCTGGGAATTCAAGGCCAGCTTGCTCTACATAGTAAGAAACTGTCTCACAAAAATCAAGGCTCTCAAAGTAAGATCACTGTGAGTTACATAGGTGGGCCATGACCCCAGTAACAAGTACCCTTCTAAAAGGTAGACAAAACAGGACTGGGAATGTAGAGCACTTACCTAGCATGCACAAGACCTATATACACAAGAGACAGAAAAGAGAAAAAACAGGTGGAAACTCAAGGAAACAGACATGAGAAGACAGAAGCTGAGATTAGATTGATATAACCACAAGCCAAGGAACAACTGAGCCACCTGCAACTAAAAGACACATGAAGGATACTCTTGTACAAATTGCAGATGGAGCATGACCTTGTTAACCTTCTGGTTTTATTCTCCTGCTCTCCAGACCTGTGAGGTATCAATTTTCTGTTCTTTTAAGCTACTGGGTCTGTGGTCACTTCTTACAGGAGTCAAGGAAATGCAAACACTTGGTAAGAGAGACTTCAGGAGAACCTGAGAAGTGTTCTCTGGGCATAGAGGAGACCTCTTGTGCCTTCTGTGTGCTAAGAAGTTTGAAAATGTGAATTGAGGTGTCAATCTGAGACAAATGACCCCTGATCTGCTTATGCTGGCTTTTAAACCAGATAGAAAATGTACAGGACAGTGCTAACCTGGAGACCTTCTAAATCCAGCCTCATACTGACTACCAGGAAGAGAACAATTGCAATGCTAGTTTCCAGAAGTGGGCTTCCTGTAACACTGGGGAATCTTGGCTATTTACACTAAAAATGTTGCTACCCATAGGTCCATCTGCCTGAGCTCACACAGCTGGCCCTTCCCTCTTTTTCACCTACTTTCTTCCTTCAGGTTCCAGAAAAGCCTTCTCTCCTCGTGATTCTAGCTCCCTCAAAGGCTGATCCTGCTCAGGCCCTTTTACTGAGTCTCCACTTCTTCACATTGAGGTATTTTGGGACTTCTCTCCTAATTGCATTCACCTCTGCAGTAATTCCATCTAGTCTCATGGTTTTAACCCAAATCTTAATGTTGATAATATCCCAAACAGTTCTCATTCCTGGATTCCAGATATATATCAAACTACTTGGATGTTTAGAAGTCTTAAAAGAAGTTGGAGAGATGGCTCAGCTATTAGGAGCACTCACTGCTCTTCCAGTTCCCAGCAGTCATGTTGGGTAACTCACAACCTTTTGTACCTCCAGCTCCAGGGGATTAGGAACTCAAGGGGAAAGATCTAGAGGAGACGGTTTCAAAAAATATTGAAGTAAGGGCAAGTGAGATAGCTCAATGGACAAAGGCCCTTGCTATGCAAGCCTGAAGACATGAGAACATGTAAAGGTAGAAAGGAAATAGCTGACTCAATGTTGTCCTCTGACCTCTACACGTTCTACCTATTGCACCTATGTTCCCTGTACAAATCATACATCACATCACGCATGTGGGGGGTGCCACATACACAAATAGTAAATATTAATTATGTCTCAAGAAAGCTGTTATTGAAAATCATAATGGAGCAAGAGAGGTGATGGTTGAGGGACAAAGAGCACTTGCTATTGTTGCAGAGGTGGCTCACAAACATCTGTAACTCCAATCCAAGGAGATCTGAAACCTTCTTCTGACTCCCTTAGGCACTAGGAAAGTATAACAAAGCACCTATACACAAAAAATAGTATCTTCTGTAGAAAAGAAAATAACTGTGACAGAGGATTGTAAGGGGTGTGAATTAAAATTAACTATGATGTAAGAAATGTACATAGAACTTACTATATTATTATTTCTACTTCGTACATTTTTAAATTTTTCAACAACAAAAGGCTGACAGCACTATCATCTTTCACCTGCATTACCGCAATAATCTCTTTACAAATCATCATGCTTTGCTTTTTCATTGGTCCTTTGCAGTCAATTGACCCCACTGGGGCCAATTACCTCAAAGATAACTCGAACTATTTCTCTCCTCTACCATGAACTCTAACAGTTTCCATTTCTTCTCGTGCAAAAAAATACAAAGTCCATACAACAGCCTACAAGCCTACCTATACTCCTTCCTTCCTTCCTTCCTTCCTTCCTTCCTTCCTTCCTTCCTTCCTTCCTTCCTTCCTTCCTTCCTCTCCACCAACTATTCCTCCCTGGTTTTCTCTGCTCCTGCCACTGGTCCTTCATTTTTCCTAGGAAATGCCAAGACAACACATTCATTCTTAGGTCAGATAAATGGTATGAGTGCAGGCAAACAGATTACTAGGAGTCATATGCAAAGTGAACTAAGGTGCAGAAGGTAATATATTTAGTTGTGAAGGTACACTTGAAAACTTTTGAAAGACTTCAAATGCACTCGTTTGATAAACAGCCTGGGCCTGATGACGCACACCTGTTGCTCCAGCACTGGAAAGGCTGAGGCAGAATCTTGAGTTCGAGGTCTACCTGGCCTACAGTGCAAAAAGTGTTTCAGAAATATTTTGATCTACACAAAATGTCTCTTAACTAGAGTTCAAGCACTAGGAGCCAAACCCTTAGGCGACAGCTGCAGTGAAGGGAAAGACAGATTCAATCCGACTAGCCACCCAAGTAAACCGGGTAGCGAATAAACGTGCCTGAACCGATGCTCTAGAAGCTAGCAGCAGAACAAAATGGGCCTAAGGTGGGGGAAGGGTGTGGACCACTGGAGTCTCGGAAGCTGCGGAACAGCCACCAATGGAGCCCGGTCTTTGGAGAAGAGGACCACACCTGTCAGCAGAGTCCGCCAGAAGTGAAGAGGACAGGAGTAGCGGGATCCAACCGCTCCGACAGAATCGGAGCTCCTAGAAAGTCCAAGTCAGGCGGTCACCCGTCCCTTCTCTGCAGTGGAAAACCCCACTTCCTGCTTCCGGTGTCGTAAGTGTGGGACCCGGAAGTAAAACACGAGATTCAAAGGCATGAAGATTAACGAGAGAATCAAAACCCTAAAGTGCCATACTTCTGCTCCAAAGAAAAATCTTAGAACAGCGGAACAGCAGAACGCTCCTCGCTGATAAACAATACACACTTATACACACACTTTTTCTTTGAGACAGGGTCCTACGTAGACCAGGCTGGGTCTGGAACTCAAAAGATCTACCTGCCTGTTTCCCGTCTGCTGGGATTAAAGTACTGCGTCATCACGCCCACACTCGCCCCCACCCCATGTTTAAGGCATCGTATCCGCACTAGAACACCCTAGTTTCAGTCTGATCCTGCCACTGGGCTCTCTGCCGCCAGGCCCCTACCAAGGAAAAAGCCTAGAGGAAGCTGCGAAAGTCCAACCCCAGAAACAAAACTAGCAACTAGGGAAGGCGTGGCTGCGCTGCTAACGGAAGTGGGGTCATCCGGGAAGGTGCAAAGCCTCGAGGGTCCAGCGGAAAGCTAGGCTATAAATTATGGCAGGGGTGATGATGGGGACACAGGAGAACTGTGTGGAGCTGCACCTCGCGATCGCGGGGCAGAGGCATCGGGGACAGCCAAAAGGCGGAGCTGGCTAGGGATGCGCGCGCAGTTACCCCTACTCTTCTCCCTTCCTGCACTGATAGAGTAGCCCGAAGCCCCTCCCCTCCTGCCTCTCCTGAGGCGGGTCAGCTCAGTCAAAGCACACGCCCTCTTGCGTTAAATGGGCCAGCGAAGCTTAGCCCCCGGAAACGGGCTGTGCACTCCAGATCTGTGAACGTGTTTGGCACCGGCAACTAAACTCAGGTAAAGGGGTGGTCTGATGGCACGTCGGTGGAGGGACATGCTGCCCACTTGTACACCGCGTGTCCCTTTGATGCGCGCTAATCTACAAGGTCTTAACCCACCCCTTTGTATCCTGCACTTTCCCCGCACTGGGCCCATGAGGACTAGACCTTTAGAAGAGAAGAGACTTTCCGGGATCACCCAACTGGGCCAGAAGAGAGCCGGAGCTGAACTCCATAATCTGCACAATCAAACGTGCTCAGTTCATTGTGGAGTTTCTGGCATACATCAGAGTATGATGGTCCCATATACAGAGTATGATGCCCTGACTGGATTTTATCTAGCTGCCCAGAGTGCGAATTCTATTAATGCTTTAGTATTTTCGTAATGTACAGCTCCTAGTGAAGGCAACATAGGAGGTTATGGCTGGAGACCAGAGGCAGCAGTTTCTGACTCTCCGAATGCGTGTGTGTGTGTGTGAGTGTGTGTGTGTGTGTGTGTGTGTGGCGCGCGCGCGCATTCCCAGCCAGTAGTTTTAGTAATCGTCACCAGCCTGGTAAGAACCCAAGGACCCTTGGATAAAGTTAAGTTGTCAATACTCTTTCATTCTCTTGCCCTATCAATGAGCCTTTCTTCCACCAGAAAACATCATGGCAGAGCAGGTGGCCTTGAGCCGGACCCAGGTGTGTGGGATTCTGAGGGAAGAGTTGTACCAGGGTGATGCCTTCCACCAAGCTGATACACACATATTTATCATCATGGGTGCATCGGTGAGTCTCCCTTTAAGCCCCGAGTCTAAAAGATCAAATATAGCATTGTGCAAGACACTTCTCTTTCTGTATCTCAACTTTCCTAACTGGGGGAA